GGGAAAATTATTTTATAATTTACATGGTGATGCTTGCAAATTTGAGCAACCCAAAAGACATGCAGAACCTCATGAATATCAATTTTCTATCATTTGCCATTTCAACTAATGAGATGTGACCAAACTTTCCTATTTTAAACCAGAATAGGCTTAAATTTTTTTATTTCATCATCTTTATAGTTGACCCATTCAACTTTTTAATAAATTCACTGTAGTTCAGAGTTTACTTTAAATGGAAACAAGAAAAAACTGTGTAACTAGAATCTTACTATGTTAGAATTGCATCTTAAGAAAAAAGATAAAATTAGAAACCATTTATGTAATATATGTTAAATTTCTATCTAGTATCTATAGGATATTGTATGATTTATTGACATGAAACAAGGATAGATTTCACTTAGTACAATTAAAAATTTATACTTTTTCAGTTCTTTCTATAATCCTTTTATTTAGAGCAGAAAAAATAAAAATCAAGAAGTAATAAATACAAGGAATTTCTTTTTAAAATCTGCATTCTTATTTTCAGGGCTGTGGGTCACAAAGTTTTTGGCAGTCTTTACCAAGAACAGATTTTAGAGAAACTCAGAAAGTCAGCAGAGCACTGTGATTGCTTGCAGTGTTTCTTTATAATCCACTCCATGGGAGGAGGTAAAGTTTTACTCATTTGCCTGTGACAATGTTAAAGTGCATGTAGGCATTCATTTTGCAAACATGAGTCTTGTTTTCAGGCCTATATCTGATAAAGTAGAATTACTTAGAGTGTGTTTTAATATTTGTACATTACACTTCTTTATCTTAAAATTTTGTGAAATTGTGTCACTATTACCAATTTTCTTTTTTAATTTAAGCCCTTTTTTAAGAGTCAACAGAACTATATTTAAATTATTTTCTCTATAATTTTTATTTTCCTTAAAATTTTCAGCTTTCGAGAAATGCTTACTTTCTCCTCAGACTTTTCTTGTTCAGTCCTAGAACTAAGTATTTCTGGCATGTTTTATGTGTGCTTTCCAAAAGCTATCAATGCCCTTTCTTTAACCACCTTCCAATCTTCTCATCTTCAATAAGAGAAAAAAAGAGTAAAAGACATTTGTGTTCAGTCAGTTCCTTTAAATCATTTATTACATGGTAATTACCCTAAACTAGAAATATGTATTCGACATTGCTTTCTTTTCCCCAAAGAAGCCTGTAACTTGACACTGAAATATTTATTTTGCTCTTCTTTTCCATGAAATAACTATAATATATTGTATATTTATAACATATAAATATAATATAAAATAAAATATAAATAAAAATATAATTTGCTGTTTGTAGAATGGGTTTAACAACGTCCACTTTTTTCTCCAAGCTGAAATTAAGATGTTATATTCAGCAGGCTATGTCTAGTTGATTTTTAGATGTCTTCCATTTACTATCATACCATTTTAAAATTAAAGGTATAATTGCTATTTAAACATAGTCATTGAATTAAGAAACAAATGATCTTCTTACTAGTATAATTAACCTTCAAGTTTGAGAGTTTTCAGAAGACAACAATTTGACTTACCATTTATAAAGATAACTTTTTTTAAAAAATCCCTCTATTATCTAATAACTCAGAAAAATATACTTTATTCATAATTCACAGAAAATGGGAAAAGTAAATAATGCTGAAGGCTAAAAGTAAATTTCTTCCATGTCTAACCCCTAGTCCTTCTCCTCACAGATAGTCAGGCTTGTAGGTTTGGTTTTTTATTTGTTTTAAATGTCTATCCTTCCAGATAGTTTCTATGCCTGTGAAAGTATGTGTGTATATTTTTACATAAATGAGATCATACAATGTGCATTATTTCATTTTGTGTCTTTCTCAAATGTCTTTCCATATCAGCTCTGTCTCAAGTGTTTAGTTATTATT